ATAATTTTTAACTTCTATTATCAACAAACTTGCAACTGATAACTTCCAATTTCGGAATCGCATACTGCTACAGATGTGTGTATTACGGTAAAATACATTTTATCGATCTTCATTTCATTACAAATTAAAGTGAAGTCAACATTGCTTTCTTCATTCCAATAAATACATGTTAATTCAGAACGTACAGAACTACAATAGATACAGAATATTCTTTATAGAATAGTATATATTTCCGTATCGATATAATTCGGAAAACAACAGTAAAGAATCGTCCGAATTACTTGAAATAGTATCATTTATGCTGATTATTAATAAATTTTTAACGTTTTCTTGGTAAGTATTTTTTAGTTCTGAAAGAATAATTTCAACTAGAATTCAACTATTCTGTTTTCAAGTTAAATATTGAAATTCATATCGAGATCAGACAATTATAAAATTTTGCTGTGTGGTATGTTATCCAAAATCAATGAAGGAATAATCTATGTATATGTTACCGGCAAAGTATGAAACGCCGGCGTTGTATAGAATGACTAGGCATTATGCCTGACGTTTTTAGGCATTCTATACAATGCCGGATACTATTAGGCAAAGTATGAAATAAACGTCCTGATGAGGTTATTATGTAAATGATGTGCATGTTACTGTGAATAATTAAGCGAAATCGGTGGTTGTTGACTTTCACCGTTGAATGTTGACAATCACATAGTCACTTTGGTGAATGTCCGAAATATTTGTTACATCCGATTTGATATTTAATTTATTATAGGATATAATTGCATTTATTCGATATTTTAATACTTACTGACGATAAAATAGAGGAAACATCAGTGTTTGGAGTATCGAGCAAATGTATACCAGGTAAATATATATCGGGCAATGGCACTTGACCTTAGAAAACATCAGTGTAAGATATACCGAGCAGTGGCATTTAACCTTAAAAAAACATCAGTGTATGGTATACCGGGCAAATGTATACCGTGCAATGGCGCTTAACTAGACCAAGTATATATTTCGGACATTTACCAAAAGTCCCGTCATACTAGTTCTAGTTAATTGCCATTGCCCGGTATACCCTACACTGATCTTTCTTTAAGGTCAAGTGCCACTTCCCGATATACCCTACACTGATGTTTCTTCTAATCTCTCGTCAGTAAGTATTAAAATATCGAATAAATGTAAAACTACCGACTTCGTTCAGTCACAGTAACATGCATTTCTCAAAAATAAAAATATTATTCCGAAAAATTACTGAGAGTGCCATTGAAAAACATTTATTCAAAATGTAGAAAGAAAATTAAAAAGTTATGCAAAACAAAATTTAAGCTTTTCTTATTAAAGTAAACAAAATTTTCATATAAAAAAAATCTGAAATTAACCTACTTGTTGCAACATGGCAGGCTTGAATGAAATTTAGAATTACATTTCATTAAATTTTTCCATGTAAATTTCATTAAATTCCTCCATTTCCATGTAGCACAGTAAATAAATAATTTTTGTTATTAGTCAAAAGTCACGAGCCACGCGTTAAAAATCACGAGCCTTGGCAAGTGATATTTGAAACGAATCGGAGATGTATTTTATACATTGTCGGTTTCTCATTTGGCAATCTATAGAATGCCTAGGAAATGTGTAAAATATAAATCATTTCATACTTTGGTGGCTAATTTTAGGTATTCTATACAATGCCTAGTCTTTCTATACAATGCCGGATTTCATACTTTGCCATTAACATATATATTATTTGAAAATAAAATTTTCAAACGAAGAACATTTCATTTGGAATTCGCCGGATTTATAAAGCAGGTGAGTGATATGATTTTTGAAATAAAAAATTTGCTTGTAAATATTTTTTTTTCTTATTTGATGATAGTTCTCTACAGAATGGTTTTTTTACGTCTGATTACGAACTATAAGTATGAAAAAAAGAAACAATATGACTTTTTTTTTAAATTTCAGTAGGAGGAATTTTTAAAATCGTTTTTTTTATCCTAAGAATTCTTTGTTTTACGTTTTTTAGTTTATAATTTTTTGATAAAAATTGTTGTCAAAATACTTTTTTTGGAAAATTAAATGGTATGTTTTTATGTATACTTCTTGCATATTCTAATCCTTGAAGTAATATGATCCAGAAAAGTATGGAATTCGGTACTTACGTATTCACGCCACCGCAGTTACAAATTTGGAGGTTTTTAAGTGCTGCCAATCTACAACAAAATTTTTTGCGACTCGACAATATTAATTCGATTCTATCATGGGGTACCTTTTCATAGATGAATTTTGACATTGTTGATAACAACTCCTCGCCCCACACTGGTGACCTTTGAACTTGATGTGAACATGCATACCTTGACAAGAACTCCCACTTCGATATGATCACGCCTACCTTGACAGTAATGCTCACCTCGATCTGAACTCGCCGACTCCGATGGATGGTCCACATTGAACAGTTGACTTATTATTTGTGACTGCGACATTATCCACCTCCTTGCGCTGTTGCTTCTCAGTCTCGATCATGCAAAATACAACGACTACACTCGTCGGCAACGCAAGAGCGACCACGACCGTAAACTTAATACAGCTCTCACGATTAGCACTCAAAAGTACGGGAATCTTAATACAGCTCTCCCGGTCTCCCACAAAAAACATCAACGAATCAACTAGTGGTATCCATCCAACAAATGCTATCACTGCTATAATTAAATTTTGCATTAAACTTTTATCACTCCGGGTCACCATTGTGGGGCGAGGAGTTGTTATCGACAATGTATCAAATTAGATTTAATGAGATGTAGAATTAATGAATCAGAGAAAATAACAAAAAGTGGTTGCATCAATACGGGTTATTTAATCTAACAGAACTGGCTTTGCTTTCACTTAAACCTTAACATATAAGTCCCGCCTTCTAATATATTGGTAATAAAATAGTGTGAAGGAAACTTTCTTTTTTCGTTTTGAAAATGTCACTTACCTGGTTCTTCAACTAAGTTTTTCAATTAAACTTGCTAAAACAATTACAATTTTCTTAATTTAATATTAATTGTTGCCCTTTTTTGCGACTTTACGTTATTGAAGTAAACAAAACCCGTCTTTTGTTGTTCACCCCAAAAGAAAAAAGATAAAATGTATTTAACATCCTTTGGCATGATGCTATTGCAGTATGAAGTAATCCTCCGGTACATATCCCTTTCGAGGGGCCGTAAAACACCTATTTTCAAAGTATCAGTTTTATAAATTAGTATTGGTGCGATCTTAATAATCACCAAATACATCAGTATGATATTTTATACCAGTGGTTCCCAACCTTTTGTGGACCATCGCCCCCCTCTTGGGGTTGGTTGAAACATATCGCCCCTTTCTCTTTTTGCTCAAAAAACCATTCATTGTTGCTTGTAAGCAACCAAACACTGAAAATATGCAATATATTTGATTTTAATTTAAATTGTAATGCAAATAAGGAGTCACATTTATCCTGTCATTTTTATTAATTAAAAAAACTGTGCAACTTTTTTTTTCAAAAAGAAATGATATTTAAAACGAAATAATCAAAACAAAAATTTATTTTTTTAAATTCATATTTTAATGTAATCAAGAAAAAGTTAAAACGTTAACAACTAAAATTTGAGGGGAAAAAATGAAGATTGAGAAAGTACATTTTTACCACTTCAATGACTGCCCTGTGCTTGGTGTATTTCAAGTTAAAGCTTGAATGTCAGGTTTTATGCTCGTCAGATTTAAACGCGGGTCTCCTTTGAAGCAAATGTCCAACCTATCTCTTTGCTTTGTGAGCAGCTGGAAGACAGAACTAAATCCTCTCTCCACTAAATATGTTGACGGGAACGAGATGAGAAGCGGCTCAGTTTGTTTCCACAATTGTGTATAAGTGTCCATAAACTTTACTAAAGCTAACTTGTAACCGTATTTTTTAAAGACGACTTTAGCCTCACAGTCATACTTCAAATCTCAAATCTTAGTCTACAAAGAGGAAGTGAGCTTATCCACAACTTCTAAAAAAGGAGGGATCGAAAATCTAATCCGGAATTTCTAATTTCATTAAATCTTGTAACTGATCAAGCTGATCAGTAAAAATTAAGATTTTATTTTCGAGAATCTCGATATCTGCCATTGAACACTTTTTAAGAGTTGGAAATTGCATTAGCTCTTTGCGACCAATGTTTGACTTGTAGATATCAAACTTGGCGATGAATGAAGATATGATTCCCTTAGCCTTGATAATGTTCATTTTATTTCCTTGAAGTTTTACGTTGATTTCCTTCATTTTTTCAAAACTATGAGTGAGGTACGCAGTTTCCAACTTGCGTTGCTTCAAACTCTCACTTAAAACAGGATCAGTGGTGTCGAGAAACTCAGTAACCGAATCCAGCAATTCGAAGAAACGGCTCAGTTTCCTTTTGAAAGCCATCTCACAGCTGTATGTAGGAGCAGGAATTCGAAATCTTCATCATTTTCATGGCAAAGTTCTCGGAACAAACGGTTATTAGGAGAATTAGCTTTTATTTTATTGATGCCAGAAATAACCAATTTTTCGCAGCCAAAAGTTGACGATGAATGACATAATGAATGGAAAGATAACTTCCGGTACTTCTTTATTTAACCCTTTAACGGGCCCTTTATTTCTAGTAAAGGTAAATTAAAGTATTTTTGGAATTGAAATTGTATTAAGAACAGTAATTGATAAAAAAAAAAAAACTCATTTAGTTTATAAAAATGCCATTTTTTTGGTGGTAAATATATTTAACATGACCTATTAGGAACTTACTGACTTTTATTTTTCTTTATTTATAAAATAAATTCCTTAAATGCTACAAACTTCAAAAGGAATTATGTATTTTATAACTTTTATACGTTTTTTAAAAGTGACAAATGGTTACCAATTTTATTCAAACTCACTTCAAGAAAGCTGAAGTTATTGAAAAATGGAAACCTAAATTAAAAGTGGTAAAACGTGGTGGTAAGTATACTTACCACGGCCTTCAAAAGGGTTAAGGACAACCAGACATGGTTGGAGCACCATCTGTTGCACAAGCACTTCCATTTGTGAGGGGAATTTCTTTTACCTCAAAATAATCTTTGACCATTTTAAAAATCGACGATCCTTTTATATCAGTGTTCAAGGTTCTTGTAAACAACATTCCCTCGTTAATCTCCTTTCTCTCATTTATGAATCTTACGTAAGCTAAAACAGCTTTGTTATCTATCGCAGTTGATTCATCAATCTGCAGCGCAAATTTACCTTCTTTCAGAAATTTGATGAGTTTGGAATCAACGTCGGCGGCCATCTCATCAATACGCCTGGAAACAATATTATTGCTCAGAGGAACAGAGTGACTTATTAGATTTCCGTCTACGATACCAAAACGCATGACAAAAACGATCCTGCACTTGAATTTTTTTTAATTTTTAACTATCATAATTCTTTGTCTACACCAGAACCATAGGTTTCATACATATTTTCAATTTCAATCTCAAATAGCTTTTATTATTAATATTATTAGCAATTTTTATCTTTTGAGTACTCGTCGCCCCCTGATCGCCCCCCTGAGGATTATCGCCCCCTTGAGAAGCTCTATCGCCCCCTTTGGGGCGATCGCCCCCAGGTTGGGAACCACTGTTTTATACCTATACTAGTCTATTTGGGTACTTATAGCCCTTCAACATTCCATCACATAACCCTTCAACATTAAGTTTTCTGAAAAATACATTTGTCTGTGATAACCAGCTAAAGGTAAAAAAAATTTTTTAAATAGAATTCTTATTAGAACTTAATGAGGTTTATGGACCATGGCTATCTCTCTATCTGACCTTTAATTTACTGTTAAAATATTTATAAGTAACGGAGAAACAAAGTTCTTTACTTTCATATTCACTCTACTATCTTTGCTATCACAGAAAAAAATATTTTCTGAAACTACGGAAAACCCGTTGTAGAATTCTTATCACAACTGAATAAATTAGCTTCATCTGTAAATGGCGATTTTCTACGTTTTTCTTAAATGAATTTCCTATTACCTTTTTTTCTCCTTCCTTTAACTTCGTTTTTTAGCACATAGCTTATTTTATTTTATTTAAATTAATTTATATTATCAATAAAGCGTTGGTTTCAATAATTATATCACGTTTTTTACGGCTCCCCAAAATGAATAAATAAATTTTCTCCATTACCTTTGTTTCTTAGAACAAAAGTTTTTTTTATATCAATTAACATCACTCATTAATTAAGCATCATTGTCGTTAATATTGGCATAAAAATGTTTTACACTTTTTCAAGATAAATAAATATATTTACTCCATTACTTTCGCGTTTTAGTACATAGCTTATTTATTTCGATATGCGTGTATTACCTAAATTAATTAAGCAACATTGTCGTCAATACTAATATGACAATTTCCTTCACTTTTCATCTGAGCGAGGTGGTACCACTTTTTCATTAATTTAGCCTTTGAATATATAAATATTTTTTCCGTTTATCAATTACCGTTTATTTTAAATAAATAACTTTTTTAGAAACACGTTTTGAAAGAATTAATATAAATAAAAGAAGGTGCGTGGATGAGACAACTATGAAAATAAAAGTATAAATTTTGTGACGTAGACCACGTGTGCTACCACGTAATGTTCTTCACTGAATTTATCTGACACATTTAAATGTGCGGAATATTTAAATGTGCACAATAAACTTTTGTTTTTGACCTAATAGAGCTATAAGTTAGAAATTATCAGTGATGTTATCTTTTAAATATGTGAAGGCAGAATCACTTATAGTAAAATTTAAAATAATGACTAACGCTTAACCAATCAGTAAATTCCATTTCGTTTTTCGCTCATCCCGCTCATATAGTTCGTCGTAGAATGCTCTAATGTTGACAGTGACTTAAAGTTCATTGTGCTTGGAACTATCTATATGCCAAATTTCCTAGCTTTCAGTCAGATGATATAGGAGTCTNTGTTTTTCTATAAAAATAGAAAATTATTCTAATTCAATACTTGATATATAACTATTCAATGTTACTTAAGACAAGCAAACAAACAAAAAAATCTAAATAAATACTTAACCTATAAACCTATATATAGTTTTTTAACACTACTTATATAATTACTTAAGACAACCTTACAAAATGCATAATAACTATAGTGTTGCCAATAGATAGAGAAATATTAGAGTTTAAGGTGCCACATAAGAAAACAAAGTATATATATATATATAGAGAGAGAGAGAGAGATAAAGAATAATTTCCGCCTTTCTAGTGATTTTTTTTTCTTCATTTTTTACAAGGATTCTTAACATATATATTTCTTTATGTTAAAAAAAATACAATAGAAAAGCTAAAAAGGATTTAGCATTTTTCTATAATTTCGAATCCTCGAAAATTTTTAAGTAATATTTTAATTTTTAATTACTTAAAATTCTGCTTAAAATTATATGGTTATATAATTCTGTATTTTGGCAATTTTCGAATAAAGTATATAACTTGATTAATTGTTTTATACCTTTAAATTAGCAAAAATTACTTTATAAATTAACGATCATTTTTTTTTTTTTGTCTTATTGTGACAACGACTTTATAATGCTTCCTATCTCATCTTGATCGAGGTTTACACTTTTTTGTTCATGGTGATTACAGCATACGGATACGCCACAAACCTACCCTGGTTTGATAACAATCATCAAAGAGTGCCTCTCGTGCTCTTCCTTCAAATTGGTGATAACAGACTACGAACCCGCAACTCTCTCACATCCCAATAGATTGAATCACTGCATTACTTCTCCCCATTCAAGGGTTGATTGGACAAACAAATAGCCTAAGTCTTAAACAAAGTCAAGACACGAAATTTATAACTTTTACGAGCTAAATATTAATACACTGTCAGTGGCCTCATATTTTACGAGAAAAGATCCACGGGCTGACTTGTACGGGTAAACTTGCCTGGAATAACTTCATTTTTGCGGTCAGTCCAGAACATTTTTGTGCTACTTATTATTCGTATCGTAGCGGTGAAATATTTTGGAGTGGATTCATTTTTTATTTAGTTATTGGATAAATAGAATTGAAAGGTTGTGTCTGGAACCCTGAAAATTCCTTGGTAATTGTCTATCTTTATAACTGTCAGAAAAAATGGCATGGTAACTAAATTGAATTTTATTTAACTTAAAAATGATGTCAATGAACTTTTCCCTATCGAATCCTTGATTCTATATCTCAATTATTTGACTGCATCAACTGTTTTATTAATTTTTATTATTTTTTTAACTGCTTTAAAACAATTCAACTTACGTTTTTAATTCTGATAGGCATTATTCTATATTAATTGCTCAGTTCTATAACTCAAATACTTCTGAAATCATCATCTATAGTTTCATTCTGAAAGTTTTGTTTTTAAAAGTCAACTTAAGACTAATTAACTTTACTTTTAAGAATGTGATCAAAAATTGCAATGCTTTGTTTCATGTGCTTGATTCTTTAAATATTTCTAGACTCGTGTAGAGAGAGGTTGGCTAAGCAATCGTGAGCATCTAATTGTCGACTTAAGACACTAATACTTTAAATCGATTACTGTTATTTTGATAATGAAATAATTTTTTAACAGGTAAATATTTGATTCATTATAAATATTTTATTTAGAATATAATATGACTAAACAATAATAAGTTTGACGTTTCAGGTTGGTGAAATAACGAGAAATACCACCAATGAAGCTTAAATATTCTATATATATAAGAGCCATTTGAAAGAATCCACATTAGTTTCTAATTAACGCTCACACAAAGTATGAGTTTAGATTTTTATATCAGGGATTTTTATTTTTTGTATCAGTGATTATACTTTTCATTTCAAAGGCATCTAATCAAGAAGTGCCCCGAGCATCCACGCACATTTGCATGCCATTGGATATTTCAGCTTTCAGTTTAAGTTATTTGAATTGTAATTTTATTTTTAAAAGCTAAATTAATACAACTCAATTTTATGAGAGTTAAGCATTAAAAAAAAGAATTTTTTTTTAATTATATGATATCAGATAGTTTTTGGAACACAAAAAACATTCTGAAATATGCATGACATACTTCCTAACATAAGAACTATTTTATTCCCTTATAATACTTTTCTAAACAAGTAAAAGTCATTAATATAGTTAGTATTTTTTTATACCACAACCTTGAATTGAGAGCAGAATAGAATCTATTTTTGCAGACTCCATCTACATCAGGCTAACAGACATTAACATATAATTCAAAAACTGTTACATGGCTACTAAATCTTTTGATTTGATTAAAATTAAATTTTAATAAAAATTTTGATTTGAAAGTGATCTTACACTTTATATTTTTCCCAACACATTAGAATGCGTAAGGCTAAGAAAAGGAACCTTGGTAATAAATTGAAGAAATTAATAGCCAATGCAATACAGGGATTCCTTAACTTTCCTTGGCGAAAACTATTCTAATTTGTTTATGTCACTCATATCTTAATTTTTAGATACATGGAGGTGGGCTGTGGATCTTGGACCTGCAACCACATCCTCCGGGCCATTATTAAAATTTATTATTTTTTGGAGGATAGAATAACTGAACAAATGGGAAATAATAATTTCTTACATGGGATTATCAGTATATTTTTCAAGCACTGTTTTCCATAAACAACCAATTTCTCTTCAACAAATAGTTATTTCAATATCTTCAAAAAAATTACTTTTACAAACCGAATTTTTTTCATAATAACATTTTGCAAGGGAGCATTTAAAACAAATTATAAGTTCGGAGATTGAACTTCATGTGGATTTCTTTTAACTTGATTCTGTAATAAAAAAAGCAAAACAAGTAAAACTCATCAGTCTTGAATATAATAATTAAATGTATTGATTTAATAAGATTATCTTATAAACAGTAAATACAATAGTATTTTTATTAAATAAATTAATTATCGATTAAAATCAGTTTCAAACTATTTCGTTTGCTCCTTTGTGAATAAAAATAAATGACAATTCCAGTTTAAAAAATCGCTTGTAAGTTCGCATTATCGTTCAATAATGAAAATAAAGTAGAGTATATAAATAACAAAGCGTCACAGAGAAGTTGTTGATGATATAAGAAATCAAAGTGCTCAAAGTCTCGTTTTACTTTGGATAAGGGCGAGGGTTGTTTTTATGAGGGGAGAACGAGTGTGGGAGAATGTTACGGTACTTTTTAGTCAGAAGAAGCTTAATTTCAAAATTTTGATGCTCATGAATTTTTGATGTTTGATCTAAATTTCAGTTCATAACCTCAAAAATTCTCATTTATTAAAAATAGTTTTAGTGTTGGTGATCGAAATATGCTACAGGGGGCGCAGCGAAGAATACTGTGTCTATGGCAATTCTACATTTGTAAATAAAATATTAAGAAAAAAAATCAAAATTTTTGCATCTGAATGTTAACAAAAAATTTTTACTCATTCGTCTGTTAAAAGTCACGTTGACGTTGAGAGGTAGATAAGAATTTCATGCTAGTTCTCTTTTGCAAAATGAAATGAAATAACAATAAGATTAAAATCTTTGGAACTTTTAGATTTCCTATACCTGAATTAATAGCTCTTAAAAATGTGCCGGAACATATGTGCATTCTGAGCCAATAGTATCATAGTAAATTTTCTATTATCAGAATGAGCATTTGTGCACGATTTGAACGAGCTGTTTTTGACTGCGACATCTAGGTAAAAATTATTCTATTCACGTATTGATCTTGTTCTCTCTGCCACCACTGTCTTCTCCCTGTTATTGGTACCGAAAACAAGACAACTCAACTTATTATTGTGTACAATAGGTACTGCTACTGCTACTTCTTTAAGTTCAGTGTTCAGATTTATTTGATGTGATCTTTATGAAATGTTAATATTTTAGTTTAAATGTAATATTTTTATTCTTCTTACCTAGTAAATTTAATTATGAATACCAACGAAACGTTAAAGATCAACTTGTCGGCTATTCGCAAAGTTGACCCTTCCATATCATCTATCGTTGATAGCGCTAATCAAGTTGCGTTATATAAATATGTATCTGGAAAAAGCAAATGGGTAAAATTTCAATTTTATTTACGATTATAATGGAAATGCATAAATAAAAAGTAATTAATGACAATTTTTTCAGTGTCTTCAAACATTTTAATATTAATGTTATGAATTACATCTACAAATCTGTTGACCTATTAATAATCAATAATTTGTAAGAAACTCAGTTTTCTTTTTTTTTTGCGAAAAATTTATAGATTTAAAAATAGTTTCAGATTGTGTGTTTGAAATATAAGTGGTCGAGATTTAGTTTGATAAGTAGATTAGTACTTCGTGAATAGTAAGAAATATTTGTAGACGTGTTAAAAAAAATTTTAACGATGATATGATATACAGTTGAAGATCTCATAAATTCCTTAAAATATAAAAGTATGAATATAAGTATTTATGTTTATAAACAAAATTTTAGATTATCCAGAGTATTAGAAATGAAATCTAACAAATTTATCAATGCTGGTTTTGTTTAGAGATAAATAAATAATGTGGTTTATGGAGAATTCCGTTGTAAAAATTTTATATTACAAAAATATGTTAAGAAAAGAATTTTTAATTAATAGTTAAAATTTTAGAATTTTTAATAATGATTGATTTTGATCAGGCTGTATGATTATTCAAATGTGTGGTGTTATGTGATATAGTTCTCAGAACTATGTTTTTAGTGAAGGGAAAAATCCCTAAGTTTATTTTGCAAGATTTGTTCTTTGGATATGATGAATAATGACTTAATATTTTTTCATCATTCTATTTACTTGTTTCTAATCTATTTATTTGATTGAATTTAATTAAATTTTTTTTTTATAAAATTGATTCTAATTTTTGACAAAGGGGTATATTACTGGGTTAGAAGGATTGCCTTTTGCACATAGGCAAAAATATAGGTTCAAATTCCTGTAGGGTCCTCTTTTTTTTTTTCTTCGTTTTTTTTCCCCTTAGTGCCTTAAGTCTATAATGAACCTTTTCTAGACTGTTAATTTATAGACTTATTTAAATGAGAAAACCTAGATTATAAAAGTTTACCCACTTTCTTGCAATGAATAAATCTGTATTTAGTTATAAGGTTATAGACCAATTAATATGATCATATTACAGTGTTTTCATCATAGAAAAAAAATGGGTGAGAATTTCTCACCCTTTCTCAAAAACAGGGTGAGATTTCAAAAACTAAAAAAATACAAGAACTCTTGAAAAAAAAATAATTTCTTTAATTATAATGCATTTTTAACATCTTCTATTTTTTAAAGCATTGAATATTTTTGTTGCATCATCTTAGAAGATTTTGCCTTTACAAGGTATTTGTCCATCTTACATTAGCACATAAAAAATTTGAACGTCTTACATGAAGAAACCTAACCTACAGTAAACATGTGGTTGCAGAGAAATGTGTTCTGAAAGGGGTTCTGTGGTTGTGTTCTGTTGTTCGAAAAGGTTTTGAACAATACTGGTAGATAGGGAAGCTAGGTAACGGGGCAGATGTTGTAAATAATGAAAGATCCAGGAAGAAAAGTGAAACGGAATTTATTCTAAACAGCGTAATTCTAAGCTTTTTTCGAAAATGCGAGAAATTCGCGAATTTTGAAATTGATTAATAGAATGCACAAATTTCTCGCGGTAATAATTTTTCAATGCGAGAAAAGAAAAAAAAATATGCGAGATTCTCGCGCTGTAGTGAAAACACTGATATTATATGCAGTGTTTTCATCTCAGAGGAAAAATGGGTGAGAATTTCTCACCCTTTCTCAAAAACAGGGTGAGATTTCAAAAAGTTAAGTGAGATTTCAAAAATTTAAAAAAAAAAAAAAAAAAAAAAAAAAAAAAAAAAAAAAAAA